GTAGGACATTCTAACCAACTTTAGTTTTACAGTTGTGTTCTAGCCTCTCACCATGAGATGTTCATAATGGGAGGAAACGGCTTAAATGCCCAAACTGTCCTGATCAGACGTTGATATCTGACCAATCTAAACCTTGGAAATTATTATTATTTAATAAATTTGTATACCGCCCTATAGCTGCAGGCCTCAGGAAGGTTCACAAGGTAAATGGGTAATTTGGGAGCCATGACTTGACTGAAAAATGTGTTTGCTGGAAATGTGTTTCTGTTACTGGTCTCAGACAGTTAAGTTTTGTTGAGATGAGAATGGGAAAGTGTAAGGTCATCTGTATTTGTGCCTGGTGTCAGTGCCCAGCACACTGGGGCATTTTCCAGGGCTCATGTGCCCTAGCTTGTCCCATTGGGGTGACACTTTGTCTGGACTGTCCCCGTGCTCTGTGCCCTTTGGGTACCCTGCAGCTGTGAGCTTTCACTGCATGTAAGTGGGCTTGTTCTTGCCCAACAGCAGCTCTGCTGCCTAGTCATCTCACTCACTTATGAGCACAAGAGGGGAGGGGAGGCTTTCAGCTGCAGCAGAGTCACTGCTGGATGGCCCATGTGGCAGTGGGTGCTGGAACAGGTGCTGGGGGCAGGGGTGGGGCATCCATCAAGGGCAACCTACCCAGCCCCTTGCCCCTGTTGATTTAAAGCAGAGTCTGTCGTGGCCAGCGGAAGGATGAAGAATACGTGCTACATACTCTATATTGCTTTATTTACAGTTCAAAGCAGGTATATTACAGAAAGACATCTTGCCTCTGCTTGGAGCAGAAAATGCATCCTCTCTCCTCGACAGCTCGGAGAGAAACACTGTGAAAAACAGGAAACCAGTGTACGTCACATCCAGTCTCCCTTTCCCGTGAGAAACTCCAACAGTAACTCTGACTGTGGAATGCAAAACACCTGTCTCGTGACAGCAGTTGCTGCACAGTGAAGGAAAGCAGAAACCAACATCCTCCCCTTTCTGTGAACATCACTGGGCAGCGTGTTCGTACAGTATCAGTACAAACCCAACTTCTGCACATAGGTACAGTGTTGATCCCTTGATACAATCTTGGACAATACATCAGCAGGAATTTCATTACCTGGCATATAGGACACGAGTCCCTTCTGAATACATTCCCTAGCATGCTGCAACTTTAATTGCAAGTGCTTTGTGCTTTGCTTACAACCTTCAGACTTCAGCAAAGCCAAACATGCTTTGTTGTCCTGGTAAACCTGGATTGGACATTTGACAGGAATTTTCATATCTTTGCACAATTGTACTAACCATTCACAATCCTTAAGTGAATAAGACAGTGCATTCAGTTCGGCTTCACAAGTACTTAAGCTAACTGTTGTTTGCTTCTTGCATGACCAATCAAACAGACTCTGATTGTACATATAGCAAACTCCAGACGTACTTTTCCTGTCTGTAGCGTCACTTCCAAAACTTGCATCTGCAAATATCTCAAGACCACCAGACTTCTGATTGTTAAATCTCAGTCTGTAATGCATAGTGCCTTTCAAATACCGCGCTATGCGTTTCAGAGCTTTCCAATCCTTGATACTAGGATCCCACCCCCCCCACACCCCCCCCCCCGCCACCCCGCCCCCCCCCCCCCCCCCCCCCCCCCCCCCCCCCCCCCCACACCCCAACCCAAACCCCCCCCCCCCCCCCCCCCACCCCCCCCCCCCCCCATTTAAGCCTTGAAGCAATGTCTGATTTGCCCGTTCCGCAAGTCCATTCTGCCATGGCGAGCGAGGACTAGACAAATCGTGTTGAATTCCTTTCTCAGTCAGAAAAGCTTCAAACTGCTGAGAAGTGAATTCCCCCGCGATCACTGAAAAGAGTCTTTATCTTCTTACCATGCACATTTTCCAACCAAGCACAGAATTCCTTGAACCTAGGAAAAGCCTCCGATTTCTGCTTGAGATTGTACACAAAAATATATCTAGAAAATGCATCAATGAGAACCATGAAGTATCTATTTCCACCCAAAGAGGGCGCAAGTGGTCCAACCAAATCAGCATGAATAACCTGGTATGGTTCTGCAGCTTTCCTACTAGACACCTTACCTTTCGCAGCCATTTTCACTTTGTTTGCTGCGCATGCTTTGCACTTCATGTGGTACCTGCAGGGTTTAATAGTCATACCTTCAACCAAGGCAGGCATTTTAGATACTGCCTCAAAATGCAAATGACCAAATCTTCGATGAAAATCGTGAATACATTCTGCATGCAAACTTTTGTTAGAACCTGCAATGCAACAAGTGTCATCCTGCACCACATCATCATAATACAAAACAAACAAATGATCAACATATTCTGCATGCAATACATAATCATTTTTCTTTGTGATGATGCACTTCTTGTTCTTGAAGGAAACGTCAATGTTCCGCTCATTCAGCTGTCCAACGCTGAGCAGATTATGTTTGGCGTCTGGCACGTAAAGCACATTCTGTATCGATAAGTCCAAACTGTGAAGAACAACAGTTCCGTAGCCTTTACTGGGAATAGTGTGGTCATCCGCCTGGTGAATCGCACCTTCCTGCGGTGTAAAAGACACAAACAGTTTCTTATCGTTGCACATGTGGTGGGTGGCCGCTGAATCAACAACGAAGAAAGATCTAGACGTCTTCTGGACCTCTGCAACCTTTGGAGTGAAGCGTGAAACCATAGCCTTGTGCTGCGTTGTCCTAGACACCGGACCTTTGCCTTTGCCTCGGCCTTTTCCGCGCGATGAGCTTTCGCTGCGCTGCTCTGTCTTGGCCCTGGGATGTCTGCATTCCCTCTTCATATGGCCTAGACGTCCACACGAGTAGCATTTCACTGCCTTCAAAGCTTTGGCGCCATCTGGTGGTTCCACTGCACTATGGGATGACGTCTGTGAAGACTCCCCTTGCCCATGCAGCTAGCACCCCGGCGATCTGCTTCATTTAAAATCACGGCAGTAACAAAGTCCACTGTCAGCTGAGCAGTTGGTTGCACAGCAATCTGGGTTGCAACAGACTCCCAACCTGAACCCAAAGATTGTAGTATCATGAAAGAATACACAGCCTCTGGAAAGTTGAGTCCTCTCTGTTGCAGCTCATGTCTCAGATTTTGCATCTCCATTAGATGTAAACGCACATCTCCACCTTCAGCAAGAGCCATATTGTGCAGCTTGTTAAAATAAAACATAGTAGATCCAGCTTCTGTCCTTAAATGAGCCTCTCTCAGAGCGTCCCAAATTTCTCTGGCTGAGGTCTTATCACGCAATAGACAGAGCTCTTCTGGGGATACTATCAATGTAAGAGTTCCCCTTGCTTTGGAATCCTTAGCTTCCCATGCATCTGTAACTGGAACTGGGGGGGTGCCTGTAATCACCTCAAACAAACCCTCTTTCCGCAGAATTGCCTCTGCATACTGAACCCAGTCGCTGTAATTATTCTTGTTGAGCTTAGGAATCCCACAAGCATCCTGAAGGGCCATCATGACTCTGGCATTAGCCTTCAGCGTCATATGCTGCTTTAATTCTTGCTGCGTCACTGCTGCAGCTGCCTTATCCAAAGGCGCACTTAAAAGTTACTTTCGATTTCCCCAGCATAGTGAGTTGTGCCTGGGAGCCTTTTGCCTATTCCCGGCAAAACCGGCTTTAAAAGTTCAAAGTCCAGCCATAAAGCCATTATCTTGAAGCTGGCAGGCTGCCCGGAGCAGTAGCACATACCTCATCAATCACTTCTACGCGCAGAGCAGATTCCTTTCCGAACCGTCCCTCTGCATTCCGATCCTTTTGCCGGCACTCCGATTCGACCTCTGGAGTCCATAACCACGTGTTGATTTAAAGCAGAGTCTGTCGTGGCCAGCGGAAGGATGAAGAATACGTGCTACATACTCTATATTGCTTTATTTACAGTTCAAAGCAGGTATATTACAGAAAGACATCTTGCCTCTGCTTGGAGCAGAAAATGCATCCTCTCTCCTCGACAGCTCGGAGAGAAACACCCAGTGAAAAAACCAGGAAACCAGTGTACGTCACATCCAGTCTCCCTTTCCCGTGAGAAACTCCAACAGTACCTCTGACTGTGGAATGCAAAACAATGTCTTGTGACTGCAGTTGCTGCTCAGTGAGGGAAATAGAAACCAACAGCCCCATCCCAAAATCTGGAGGCGGGCTTGTACCCTCCAGTTATTATTTATGGGAAATCATTCTTGCTGTGACTGAGAGCAAAACTAGATTTTTTAAAAATGATTGTGATGCTTAGAATCAGTGTTTTGGTGTTTTGTTTTGTTTTTTAAAAAAGTTTAGAGGTACTCATTTTCCTACTCATATTGAAATACTGTCCCTGAATGAGGCCAAACTTGGATTCACAAAATGTTTAGGGGTATGCATACCCCTGTGTCCCCCCCAGAAAAAAGCACTGGTTAGAATCATAGGATTGTAAAGTTTCGAGGGACTACAAGGGTCATCTAGCCCAACCCCCGGCAATGCAAGAATCTTTTGTCCAATACAAGCCTGCAAAATCACAGCATGATAGGAGGGCTGGGGAGGGGAGGAAATTCTTCCCAAGCTAGAAGGTTAAAAGATGCCGTCCTGCTCGTTTATGAAATAGAAAACTGATAAGACATTGACAGATAATTTCAAAACAAAGCACATTCCAACTGGCTGAACTAAGAGTACTGTAAGTTGCTGTCAAAAGCTGTTCTCTGGTGGGGTCTGTTGAATGTGTGTTTGAAACACATTCGGTGTAACATCTAGTTTGAACCTGATACTCTTAATGTCACAATGCCACCATCGTATCTGCCTCACAACTTACCTGGCAGCTGTCTTTGCAGTCTAACCTAATCTCCCTGCAGCAAACATGTAGCAGGTGAAAATGTGACATGTGGGCCTATGCAGGATACTAGCAGCCAGTCAGGAGACTCCCTGGTATGTGTTCTTAGATGTTTAGGGCTGCCTTTCATGAGAACATACATATTGGCTGAGAAGGAAAGACTGGCATAAGGGCTGTAGCTCAGTGGTAGAGCATTTGCCTTGCATGCAGAAGGTCTCAGGTTCAACTCCCAGCATTTCCAGGTACCACTGGGAGAGACTCCCTGTCTGAACCCCTAGAAATCCACTGCTACTCAGTATGTGGATATCCTGAACCCAGGCATACCCAGAGGTAAGTCCTGAGAATGCACACAGTCCCACAGGTAATACTAGAGTAGTCAGACAACCCAAATGGCAAAATAGCAGTCCTGGTCTAATACAACGAGCAATGTCCCAAGTCAATCTGCCAGGTCAGGTTCCGCCACTGCAGAAGATCCAGGGTTGGAACACCTGGGGTTAGTTCTGAAGTCACAGTCCGGTGACGTTCCCAAAGCAGCCAAGCTGTGGTCCATCAACAGAAAAAAAGGCCTTGCTTTCCTTTCATCCTTGATTGATGCACCTGAGCAGCTGTACCTCTCCCCTTGATGAAGCGTGTGATCCTCACCTGCCCTGAGCCTAATCTAGCTGAGTGACCACAGCCTTCTTCCCACACCTAAAGAGTCCCATGATCTCCACCTGTTTCTGTGTTCCCTTGCCTGCCTCAGTCTCCTGAAGGAGTGCACTTCTTGCTGTTTCCAGTGCCTCAGAGCCTGCTGTGTCCTTGGAGACGGGGGCACCTCTGGTTCTGGTGAAGTGTCTCTTTCCCCTAGCTCCTGTGAACTGCCTGCAGCTCCCTTGACATTGTCCAGTGTCCCGTGAGTATCTCCTAAGTCCCCAACTTCCCCTTCCCTATATTCAGCTTGTCCTGGTATGTACCAGTTGTGGCTACGCCCCTCGCCGGGATCCTCCTCCACTTCCTCAGTGTGTTGCCAGCTCATGATCGTAGACAATACAGAACATAGGAGCCAATGCCTAGGATCAAGGGGGTCCAATAGAGGGAGCCAGGTCCCTCCAAAGTTTATGGGCATTGCCACTCAAATGGTGTGCTTGCACCATGTCATGTGATCAATTATGGAGGCGGGGCTTACCCCCCCCCCAAAAAAAAATGTTTTATTCAAGTTTGCACCCCTGATACTGAGCTATATAAACCAATAGTCTGACTCACAGGCAGCTTCCTAGCTGTGGCAGTCAGGATTTCTGTACAAAGGTGGCGAGTGAGACCAAGCGAGCTCCTTTTTATAAAAATAGGAAAAAACGCACTCCAAAATAATCCCCAAAAGATATTTGAGGAAAGCCAATTCTCTGGCTGCTTTCCCAGATGCTAATTTGCCTAGGAATGCCTGGTACAGCAGTCGTTCTATTTAAGCTTCCTTAATAGTAGTGACCGCAGTACGAGGCACATCTTGGTGAGTTAATGACCATCAGTGCCTTCCAGCCAGTCATTAATATCGAGGAAGGAGCTTGTGCTCTGACTGCGACTGCTTGAGGCCTGTGTGCCCAGTGACCTAACAAAGCCCTTTGCATGTGCGCTGCGCTTGCATGCATCTTCCCAGGGCGAAGAGAGACAGACACCACAACAGAAAGGTCAAAAGGGAAGGGAAGGAAGCGAAGACTAGATGAGTTTCTGAACAGCATGAGTTTGTAGGTAGGTGGGAATAGCAGGGGCTATTAGCCAAGGTCATCAGGGGAGCTATGTTTGCAGTTATCCATAGAGACCTTGGAAGAATCTGCCTTATACCAGGTCAGGCTTATTTGGTTAGCTCAGTCTTGTTCAGCCTGATTGGCAGCTACTCTTTGGACACTGAGCCAATAAAGAGGATCTTTCACTGGTTGCCAGCTGCTTACTGGTTGTTGTTTTTTTAAAATTAAAGAAAATGACAGATGGCTGGGATCGAACATGGAACCTACTGCATGCAAAACATTTAGTCTACCAAAGACTTGAAACTTTCCATTGCCAGAAGCTTGGAATGAATGGCAGAAACCCCGTGTTACTTCCTTTCACTCTTGAATAATTCCTTTTTCTCTTTGCCACTGGAGACGTGATGTTTTCACAAATGGATATCGTTGGGCTGCTTTGATGAGACCTTTCTGAACTTGATTGGAAAATATCCGGAGTAGGTTTGGGGGCAGCATGGGGGCACATGTGGAGAGGAGTGGGAGGGAAAGATCTGTTGTACAGCTAGAAGTACTTGTGTTAGTGGAACTACCACTTAGGATGCTGTGTTCCAGAATAGCTGGATGACCACTTGATTCTGCCCCCTCCGCCACCTTTTCTTTCTCCTGTAAACATGCACCCAGATTCCTGCCTGCACGATGCTGGCAGTGGAAGAGGAGCCATTTGAATGTGCAACTGGCCATACGAAGGAAGTGAGGCTTGTTACTTGAGAGTTTGCAACACACCAGAAAGGCCAGGCATAGGCAGACTCGGCCCTCCAGATATTTTGGGACTACAACTCCCATCATCCCTAGCTAACAGGACCAGTGGTCAGGGATGATGGGAGTTGTAGTCCCAAAACATCTGGAGGGTCGAGTTTGCCTATGCCTGAGAAAGGCCATGGGAGTGCCTGCTGTTGGACACAAGCTTCAAGCGCTTGCAAATGCAGTCAGCATTGTAAGATAAACAGCAATGCAGAGAATTCTTAGGAGTATTTTTCCTTTGCAGTTCAAGCAATGTGACTCCTGCTTTTGACTTCTCCCACCTTATAAGTAGTGATCTCAAATCTAATATTGCATATTTCATAGGTTTTGCCATTAATTGTGGGTGGGTGAGTGAGGGGAGCATGTCCAATTTAGATAGCATTTTTATTGGATCACAAAACATCAATATAAATCAAACATCTTGTTTATCTGTACTACATTTCTTTCAATTTGAGGTGTATTTGGGTGAATAAAAGTGCACATTCCCCGTCTACATTATGGTGCAACTAGTCATGAATAATTCTATGTCACTAGAACTGGGTTTGGATATACATATAAGTAACAGCATACATGGCTAAAGTGAGTCTTTGGTTGCAAGAAAAGCATTGGGATATATATATATGCATTTTAAATAGAGACTGTGAAAATAAAGATACGTTATGCACCCTTTCTAAAGTGTATGAAAGCTCTTGATGAAGACCAGGCAACAGTTTCTGTCTGCACTGTCTTCCTCAGAAATGTCAAGCATCTTCTGCTATCTTGTTTGTTTAATTTTGCTTTTCGGCCTTGCTATCTTGTGTTGCGTACGGTAAAATTGTGGTCAGGAGGATGATAGGATATTATCCTAGGCTAGTCATGTTCTCATCGTGGTTTAATAGATGTGCACTACAAATGATTCCATTCATTTTGTCTGCATCGGTGAATTTTCAGCATCTTCATAGTCAGCGCACACACTTCAAGGCCTTATTATTACAACCCGGCAGCTCACATTTGCATTAAGCTGAAGTTTGCCTTGTACCACATTACATCTTTCATGGCATTTATTCATGGTAAAAAAAGATGATGAAGAAGAGGCAGGTTTTCTTTTTAGTTCTGTTGTGTTAGTATGAAAAAGGGCACCACCTCTTTGGTGTTGTAGCAAATTAAACTAGACAATGGGAAACATGTAGACACGGTTTGCAAAAAACTGCATTTCATTGCTTTCTAAACGGCTGTTTGTCATTCTAAATGGGGTCACAGCCTCAGTTTATGTGATCACCAGTGGCTTCTAGAATACTGAGAAGGACGAAAAATAGACAAACAAAACAACTTAGATCTTCCTGGAGGGTGGGCACGTGTTCTACTTTACAAAGGACTTTTTCTGCTCGAAAAAGTCCTGTATTGAAGAGCAGCATGGTCTAAGACAGGCATGTCCAAAGTCTGTTTCAGGGGCCTAATCCGGCCAGCCAGTTGGTTTAATCAGGCCCCTGTGGCAGTTTATTTTTTGGGGTAAAATCCTAAAAACTTTGACAACTTCAGTCATAAGACGTGCTCAACTTCAACCCTAAAGAAACCCTTAAAAACCCTAAAAAAGATTAACAACTTGGGTTGGCCCTTTGGTTGGCCCTCACGGCCCTTCACTTCATCAAATCTCACCCTCTTTGAAAAGTTTGGACACCACTGGTCTAAGTCCATACTAAGATAAAGAAGGGCAGCCCAGCCACAGAAGGACTGAACAGACATACCACTGGTGTAGTGATTGTAGTAGAGGCAGTCCCTTTCCCAGGACTTTAGGAGTTTAGGGATGATCCCTGGTGTGAGGGGGCAGCAGGGCCGGCCCAAGGCATTTTGGTCCCTGAGGTGAACCACAAAATAGGGCTTGCTAATTAATGAAGTCACTAAGCCAAGTCTTGTGTCAAGGTGTTGAACCCAAACCTATTACATGGCACCAGAAATTGAGACCACAGGGCTTCTGAGGCAATGTGCCACTTTCTTCTGCCTTGGGGCAACTGACTTCTATGGGCAAGAAGGCCCCCACCCAAAGATCCGTGGCCTCTTCTCAATTTAGCAGCAGAAGCACCAGTTTCTATTTAAATTATGGCCATTATTTCTGAATTTACATCTATATGTATAAATCAACATATGCAATCTGTGTCTTTTTTTGTGGTGGTGATGATGATGATGCACACTTTGCCACCTTGTTCTTACGGCTGCAGAGAAAATCCTGGAATATAACTCTTAATTGTCTGCCTTTATGCCTCTTAATATCTATATGTGTGTGTGCTATTATTTGTTTGTTTTTTGATGGCACTATGCACTTTTTCTTTCCATTCTTTTTTTAAAAAATGTTTCAAGCAGCTGACACACCGGTGTCAAATACTAATGGAAAACACAACCAAAGTTCAGATTTCATCATAATGTAGCATTCTGGTTAGATCTCTTTGTGATGCTTGAGTGTGATAGGCTTTTCTCCTCTTTGCTGCAGTGGGTGGGCCAGCTGGTGGCGGCACAAAGAAAAGGGAAGCTTAGGTTTAGAGGATGCCAGCTTTATTTTATATAAAACAAGCAGTCAGGGGTATGTTTTGGAATCTAGTATGTCTGCAGATTATGAATGGTGGCTATTATCATGCAGCATTCTTTCTTTGCCTGTGAGTTCATAGAATTGTAGAGTCAGAAGGGACCCAAAGTGCCATCCTGCCCACAGCCATCCCTGGGTGGGCTTGAACCACCAACCTTCAGGTTAACATCCAGACGCATTAACTCACTGTGCCACCAGAGGCTCCTCTAGGAGTGGAGTTCTGACACAGACCACCACAGGTTCTGGTCCCAGGCCAGCACTCGGCAGAGGCAACTGCTCTCCCAACACCAGCAATGTTGCAGCTTACCTGGGTAGGGCAGGACATGGATGCACTGGCATGAGTGCTGGATTGGTTCTGCGGTTACATCCGTACAGCCACCACCTTGCCACCCTGGCCTGCCCCATCTGTCTGTGTCCAGGGAAGCTACAGTGATGCAGGTTTTGGGAGGACAGCTCCGTTCCATCTCACCAGATGCTACTGGGTGAGCTGGTATTATTGTGATGGTTGTTATTGTTACTAATTTTATTATTTGTACCCCGCCATCTGACAGGGTTGCCTCAGTCTCTCTGGGCGGCTTCCAACAAAAAATAAAAACACAGTGAGATATCAAACATTTAGAACTTCCCTATACAGGGTTGCCTTCAGGTGTCTTCTAAAAGTCGCATAGTTGTTTATCTCCTTGACATCTAATGGTAAATAGCTTCCTTTAAAAAAAAAAAAATTAAGACCAACGTTCAGGAACTTTCTTGTAGCAAACCTGCTTTGCTCTTCTACAAAACACAGAAGACAGAGGACAAATGACAGCCACACTCAGTGGGGCTACTGCACTAGGCAAGTATCAGATGGGAAACCAGTTTGTTTTGTTATAGACCCTTCAGATACAGTCCATATCCCAACACGACTGTAGAGGCACCTGCTCAAAAACGAAGCTGGCCTGTTTCCAGAATCAAGTCTTCAGGGTAGCTGGCCTCCACATTTTGATCCACCAGGTATACTGAACCTGCTACCTTCCCAGCATCTTGATTACATAAGCGCAAGCTGATAAAACAGAGCAGCTATTCAACAGAAGTTCAGACTTTTGCTGGCATACATTATCCTTTGGAGGAAAATATCCTGTTATTGCTGTCAAGTCGTAACTTTTCTTGTTGTGTGCTCTGAATGCATCATATTCCCACTAGCTTTTCATCTGAGAATGGGATGGAATAATTTCCTGCATCAAACAGGTGGACACCATCTGGACGGAATGTTCTAAGGCAATCGTAGCTCATATCTTAGCGTCACACAGTAAAGCCTCTGGATAAAATGGAGGTATTTGCTTCTTCGATGACTTTTCCGTTGTGCCCTATTGCTATGGTGATCACAAACCTGTTTAGCTCCTAAGCCATGCAGGAGGTAATGTTCTGTCCAAAGTTGTTGAAGCTACCAGTATGCCTTATGGCCTCTGGTAACTTTTCTGCATATTACACAAAGTATATGCTCATATCCTCTCTGTACCTTCATTCCCTCTAAGCGCTCACTATAGTAACTCATTTAGACAAAATCATAATTACCTCAGCAGGCAAATAAAACATCTAGTTTGTGAAATGTTGGCTTCAGTCCTCAAACTGCTACCGTTCCAAACAGATTGCTGTTTTTACTGTATGCACATGCTTTTTACCCTTTGTGAGGTAGTGATTTTTTCTGCAATGCTATCATTTCCTTAGTTGTATTCCACCTTTGAGTTCCCTGCTTATTTTTTTCTCTGTGATCAGCTGCCGTCTGTTCAGTGCCTCAGAGAAATAACAGGATTCTTCTGAAGGACTGCAGGAAGATAACTGAGGGGTGTCGGTGACAGCCCTCTGGTTTTCAGACCATGTGCCAGGGGCATTGCTAGGAACTCAAAAGGGCTCTCAGGACACAGGCCAACAATACAAATTTCATAGATTTATTGAGTGCCTGAAGAGGGCGGGTGGGCAGGAATCTCACCAGTGCCGCAGTTTGCTGTGCAGGGTTGTTGTTTTTTTAAAAAAACAAAAGTTTATTTAGCACCACCCCAGTTTCTGGTGCATCAATGAAGTTATTAGCCCCAGTACAGTGGTACCTCAGGTTAAGTACTTAATTCGTTCCGGAGGTCCATTCTTAACCTGAAACTGATCTAAACCTGAAGCACCACTTTAGCTAATGGGGCCTCCTGCTGCTGCCACGCCGCTGGAACACGATTTCTGCTCTCATCCTGAAGCAAAGTTCTTAACCTGAGGTACTATATCTGGGTTAGCGGAGTCTGTAACCTGAAGTGTATGTAACCTGAAGCATATGTAATCTGAGGTACGACTGTATCAGGCGATCCCCTGTCACCTGTAATGTTGTCTCCCACCCCCTCAGGATTTAGTTTAAAGCTCTCCTGGTCATGTTCATGAGAACCTAATAGCTACAGCCACCTGCACTTGATAATACCAGGCAAAAGAAAACCTGCAGTTGACCAGGATTCTTTGAGGGAAACTATGATTGTTTAAAGTGGTATGATACTGCTTTAAATATATAGTGCAGATGGGGCCTCAGTTAGAGCCAGAAATACCTGGAGGCTGTGTCATTACTTTGATGCAGAGACCTACTACTTTCCTTTCCAGTATATCTTACCTGACTGCCCCCACCAGACACTGCATTGTCCTATTTTGATGATTAAAGAATGCCCCTCCTGGAAATGAAAGGTTAAATCTTTGTTTGCATTAAATGGATCTCCTGCCTTAGAAATAAAAACAATGGCCTTTTAAGAGCTGCTTCAGTCAAAAGCTGACAGTTCAAGAGAATTTAGTCTAACATGGATGTATTCAAAAATCCCTTTACTCTTCTCACTAGGAGGGCATGGATTATTCACAACAGTGCTTGTTTCTTAAAAAGATACATGTCAAAGATTTGGCAGCTTCTGCCCAATGCATCTTCTTACAAAGAATATGTGACATTGCCTCCCCTCCAGTTCTTTTTATCTTTCTCCCTCCTGTATAATGATACTGAGTCTTTCTTGTTCTCACATTGCAGAGCTGTCTCCAGGCTACCCAGGTGCAAAACCAGGCCTGTGAGCCAGACCATGTAGCGTAGCAGAGCAGATCTTGTGGACAGGAAGACAGACAGTTATTCAGATAGACTCATGTACCGGTATTTCACCGAGTAGCCCCATTATTTACACCACTGGCATCAACTCCAGGGGTCCCTGGGCACCCACAATTTTTTCACTATGGGTGCCCAGCCTCTGCCCGCTGCTGCTGCTGCCCTCTGTCTTACCTCCAGCCTTACCCCAGTGCCAGGGTATCTGCTGCGGGACCTCTGTTGGGGCCCACTGCAGCTGCAGACATGCACCCACACTCCGCTGCCCCGTCCCGCTGCTGCTGCAGAAGCACAGAAGTCGTGCAGGAGTGCAGCCGCGGCATGTGTGTGATGTGATGATGTCACATTGTGCACACTGCTGGGCACCTACAGTCTGGGGCCCAAGCCGGTGCCTCTGATCTATACTACCTGCTAAGTTATATTCAGAGCAGGTCACTAAAATCAATGGACTTGGACGCAACTTGAGTCCATTGATTTACTCTGAGTCATAGAATGGACCTCATTCCCTTCTGGGCAGTGTTTGAGGGGCCATATGGTCACGGTGGGCAGAGGCAAAAGTAGGAAGTGAAATGAAGGAAATTTTGCTTTTGTGTGGTACACTAGTTTAGACACAGACTTACACACTCCATGAAGGAAAGGGAGAGTCATTAAGAGTGTTCAATGGCACATTCGGCTAAGGAAAGCAGTTGGTGAGGGTATGAAACAAGGTGGGAGACTGGTGTGGCTTGGGAAGGCAGTGTAGCCTGTGAAGAGTCTCAAGGGCCACATAAAAAGCATCTAGGGCCACAGTTGGCCCCTGAGTCTGAGATTCTCCACCTCTGGCTTAGTCAGATACCATCTGCCAAATCTCAGCTTAACCAACTTTGCAGGGTTGATGGTAAGATAAAAAGAGAGAAAGTAGATGATTGTAAAGAGAAAGTAACATTTCAAAGACATTAAGATTAAAGCACAGAGCCTATGCTTGCACAAATCTTTTCCTGTTTTTTATATTTAATGCTCTCCTATGATTTAAAAACAAGGATGATCTATTATGACAAATAAATGCTCTTTTTTTGCTTCTAGTCAGCTAAAAAGGTTTCATGGGAGAACATTATTACATAAGACTTGTATCCTGATCGTTCAGCCTGATAAAATAGAAACTTGAATCTATATGCAGATGATAAAGACTGTGCCCATAAAATCCCCATGGCTGATAAGATTCCCTCAGATTTCCCTGCTTAATTATAGTTTTTTTTCCTTTGTAGTGTTGACTCCGCCACTTCTTAGCACAGTTCCCAAAGCAGCTTAACATTTGCCACACACAGAGAGACCTGCTAACCCTGTTGATTATAAACATGTTACCTTGTGAGATAATGAGCTGCTTATGCGAACTGCTGAGAGCGCTCCACACTGCCATATAAATGTTAAGTACTATTACTTTATTATTACTTTCACACATTGTGACGCTGGTACCTCATTAGTGCAAATCAGGGCCTCCTGATACCAACTCCCTGAAAAACAAACTTAGGGCAAGATGCTGATAGTGAACCACCCTAGATGTTTTTGAGAGCAATATTAATTGCCCAGCTGTTATCTTGTTCCTTGCTTACTGGATCCATGTATTACTATAATGACCCGGCAAATGTTTAGTTAATCTAACTCAACCCAGTATGAGGGTTATTTTGAGCAATTAAAGGCCGGTGGGGGGTGGGGGAGACAGTGGGTTACAGCTATTGCACCAATTTATTGTTGATGAGAGAATATGAGCAAATTTACTTTTCAGAGCACCTGATAATGATAGTTGTTGGTGCTTTCCAACGAATTAAACCAAATGACCAGGAAATAATTTCATTTCATTTGTATGCTGCTTTTCCAGAAGAAGATCATGCTCAAAGCAGCTTACAACAAAGAAGCAGGGATGCATTTCAAACAAACACTACAAAAACAAATCCATATTAACACAGTAATGATTTCATAGCATAGCAAAGCCATAACAATAACATCGGAAAACAACAGCAAATATAGTAATGTACAAAAAAAATACCACGTTGTGTGTTCCGAGCTTCTTCCACTTGTTGTTCCCACTGTAACAGGCAGCTACTAAGTACAGCTTCAGCACCTAGATTTTAAGGGATGTGTAT